CTCTTTGTGTCAATCATTTTTTCGGATTACTCAACCAATATTTTATCCACTGGGCCGTGTGTGCTTGGCTCGGGGCGTATAACAGCCGAAACGTCTTGAATAGTGTATATAGTTACAATACCTCATCTCAGAAATATTGACCGATTCTGAAGAAGGCCGGAGCGTATAACGAAAGAAACGTCCTGAATATTCCATTAAATATGAAGACAATAGTCCAAACGATATAAATAGTGTAAACAGTTAAAATGAATCATCTCAGAAATATAGACAGATCCTGAAGAAGGCCGGAGCGTATAACGGCCGAAACTTCCTGGATATGCCAATATATATGAGGGCAACCGTCTAAACGATATAAATAGTTGAAATAATTACAACACCTCATCTCAGAAATATAGACAGGTCCTGAAGAAGACTAGAGCGTATAACGGACGAAACGTCTTGAATATGCCAATAAATACAACGACAACAGTCCAAGCGATGTAAATAGTGAAAATAGTTATCATAAGTCATCTCAGAAATATAGACAGGTCCTGAAGAAGACTGGGGAGTATAACAGACGAAACCTCTTGAATATGCCAAGAAATACAAGGACAACAGTCCAAGCGATGTAAATAGTGGAAATAGTTATACTACGTCATCTCAAAAATAAAGACAGTTATCAAGAGACAGGGTTAAGTTAATGAACATTCCAATTCGTGTCCATCGAAAAACGATTAATGATTAACAGCCCCATATTCTGTGCGCGCTCCACTGTTTATTTGATTAAAAATAATGTCTGTTCGTATTTTATGTATATCTTGTTTTCATATCATGAATTCTCAATCGCATTTAAAAAAAAAAAAAAACTCTTCTGCTCGTTGCGAAGCATCCACAACACACAAACGGCCTCATTGACCGATAAGCATTATGTCGTGTAACTAAAGAGAAAATAACACGTTAACAGCACCTCAAAATTGTGTCAACACAACCAGAAAAAGGACATTTAGTCCTAAAAGGAAAAAAAAAAAGATGAAAGGAAGAATCTCCCTCGTGGGAAATGATTCTGTTAGATTACGATAAGACGAAAGCGCATCTTGTTTACCCTGTAAATAATGACAGTAGCAAATTATAGCAAGATACATTAATGACCGCTATAAATTCACTCGTGGAATTCGTAGTAAACTTAATTCGGTTTTAAATGTTCAAGCGAGAGATGTTTTTTTTATTTATTGTTTTTCACTGTTTAAGTTTCTACTTTTTTCTTTCTAACTTTTTTTTTTATTTAGCGTCGTTTTTTTTTCTTATTTTCTTATAACTTCTTTGTAATTATGTCTTTCTTTTATTTATTTTATTGTCTTTTTATAAATATTTTTGACTCCTATTTTTGGTGGGTGAGTCGTTTTTTTTAATCATTTTTTTTATTTGTCATTCATTTTCTATCAGCTTCGATGTTTACATGATTTGTTTTCTTTTTATTTTTCACATTTTCTTTCTTCTATTCTTCTCTATTTTTTAATTTTTTTTTCAATCTTTCTTTTCTTCTGAAACTCTCTTTCTTTTATTTTCTTATATTTTTATTCCCCCCACTTTTTTATATACTTGCCAGTAACAGCGTTTCTGATCGACAGATTTACCAAAAAGAAAAGAAAATCTATTGCGTGTATTACCGATTTTACCATCACTTTTCTATGTCATTTCGTGTTGATGTTACTGTCAGGAATAAAAAACAATATCAAAGTATGAAGACGCTGTCAGAATGTCTTTGTACGATGAGACATGAGCAACTGAGTCATTCCTCGGATGGTTTGATATCCTTTCGAGCTAATGAACTCGAAAAACTAATGAACCTCAATATCATTTAGTCTCTATCCATCACAATCGAACTAAATCGACATATGAAAAAATACAAACACATTATTTTTTTATTCAACTACGAACACACCCAGCCATATCGACTAAGTTGCTTAAACCATTGTCCTATTTTGCATGGCATTAGTTACGATCGTTCACGCAATAGGAGATTCATAAATGGAATGTTTTTCGTGTACGGCTATAAGTGAATCTATTTTTAAATTTTCTTATCAGTCATTTTGCAGCTGCTTTTTACGATATTTAATTTTGGATGCATTTATCACGCCTGAAAAAATAATCTAAAATTACTATGTTTATACCAGTTAGTGTAAGTGCAATGGGAACGATCAAATAATACTTTATGCGAAGGACAATTATCTATTAAAAAAAAAATAAATAAATAAATTTGTATCTGTCTATATTTCTGAGATGAGGTATTATGTACATTATTTATATTATTCGGACGATAGTCCTCATCTTTGTCACCATATTGGTCAGTCAGTCGACTGGCTGATCGGTTGAACTCTCTGCCTTCGGGCGGGGAGGATCCCGAAAGAGGCTACGCCGAAGGGCGGATTCTCTTTCAGGGAGGGAAACCGACCCTGAACCCGTTTATACGGGTTCAATGGGCATATTTTTGGCCGAGCCCCCACGGGCTCGGAGATCCCACGTTAAACCGGCCTTATGCCACATGATGCCCTCGTGGGGGTTAACTAAATGTCTTTGTCACCATATTTATTACAACGTTTCGGTCGTTGTACACACCGACCTTGTTTATGTGGTTAGAATGTAAAACTGAACCCATTATTTCACTCACTGGGGTAGACTGTTCTAGTTCCAAGGACACATGGCAAAGTGGATAAAGGCGTTAGTTAGATCCAGTGACAAGACACAAATAGTGAGAGTTCAATACCCGGTTAAGACAGTGGAGAACTTGGAGAGGGGAATTAACAGGAGATAACTTATAACTGACATCCTTTATACATGGCACGTGGAACTAGAACAGTTTACCCCAGTGAGCGAATTAAAGGGTTTAATTCGACATTCCAACCACCTGAAAAAGGCCGGGGCGTACAACGGCCGAAACGTTGTAATAAATATGGCGACAAAAATGAGGACAATTTTCAGAATAGTGTAAATAATGAATATAAATTTGATATTTCGAAAACTGTAGGCATATTCACATACTTCTTTCGTTTCTTTTAATAATTCCCGCCCAATAAAACCCGCCAAAAACATGGAGTTATTGAGTGTTAGAGAATATGAGAAAAAAAAATCAGTATTAAGGAGAAAACAATAATAAAACAAGAATAAAGAAGACGGAAGATAATGATTTAAACGTTCGATTGTGCAGCAAGAATAACATAGATTCTAAGAGGTAGCATGAGGTAGAAGCTCATTGGTTTAGCGTTCCACCACGTGCACCGTTAGACTGTAAAATCGAATCTGGCTGGAGGCGGAAATCCTGTCGATGTTTTAAAATTATTGTAAACCACTAACGGCTTTGCATCTTTTTTGGTCTCCTATCCAAAATCTAGAAAAACGCAATCAATCAATGTCAGTATTTCACACCCATGACGTATCTTAACAAATTGCTCACCATCCTGGCCAAGACTCTGCATTCCGTAACAGAGATTCAAACAGCACAGGGAGTATCGAATGAAGGGCTACGAAAAGAAAATGGCGAGTAAGTTATCAGATGATTTTTTTCGTGAATGTCTCACTGATCAGAAACAAGAGTTAATGCGAAAGAATAGAAAATTACTTAGAGCAAAAACGGACAGTAAATTTTGAAGAGCCATGATTGTATATATCCTGAAGGTACAAGGCACGTAAATGATAATAAACAGATGAAACAACTGAGATAGTGAAGAGTTTTTTCCTGAATTTCAGAGAAATTCTCAGTCTCAAGTGACCGTCGACCTGCCATTGGAAGTTTTGTCTTAGCTTGTGTTATTCCGTTAGAGATGAAGTAATACTGGAGTGTCGAATTTAGCGCGGAAGTATGACAGGAATTTTGTGGGAGATCGGTATGATGTTTTCCCTTCGAGAAATATTTTGTCGACTGCCATTACCGATTATTCTGTTTTTGTCTTTTAGGCAATCTGATGAATGCAATTTTTGTGCGATCATTCTGTTTTCCGAAATTTAGGTTTTCTCATTATAAAAGAAATTAAGACAATCGGTTACGTGACATGTTCACACCTCCGTTCACTTTACTTGAGGTCATTTAAGAGCGATTTAGGGGAGATTCGAAAAGAGTGAAAAGACAAATATAAAAAGCATGTGATTGGATGATAAATACTAATTCTTCACACACATAGAATGTGTGTGATTGGAGGAAAAATACGAAATCTTACATGCCTTTTTGGTAATTTGTATAGAATCTTTTGGGAACGCCTCAGGAGATGAGTAATGACACAAGCTCCCTTCCGAAGGACAAATACAGCCGGAGGGGGATGGGCCCCATGGAGATTAAGCTTAATATTGTTTTGAAACTTTCATAGCGAAATTACCAGGTAAAACGAAATGAGTACCCATACATTTCTTTTTTTATAATTTTATACATCAATAAAAGAGTCCACTACATATGAATAGGTTAATTGTCATTCTCTTTGTAGTGGATGTTTCTAATAGCGTGACCGACTCCATAAATTTCATTTCGCTTAATAGGTAAAATAAATATTCTGACATTTTAATGGCATATGTATTTTCTAATTCATTTTAATTCTTTATGATATTGATAGCAAAGGGACAAGTTCAGATATAGAAATTAGTGGTCATAATTTTTTTTAAATAATCTACGAGCAAAATGTTAACATTTTCTGTTTTTCTTGACAGGAAGAACGATTTAGTTGCTACTACTGCTACTACTCAAGAATTTCCAAAGCATTCTTCTTCAGGGAATTCGAGCACAGCCCCAGACCACTAAGCAGACCGAAACTGAGGTAAAGAGACACTGTCAAATACAATCATAAGAGATGTGCCATCGGTATTGATAGCTGGGAAAGTACTACCCAAGCCCGTACACCCAGGCCTGTGCAACGTGGTCAAGAACTTGCAAAGAGGGCATCGATGCATTTGAGAACAGGGGTATCAGTCTACTCATTGAGAAACCTGCCAAGCAGAATCCGGAGGGCGACCACCGGAACGACGTCCGCGCCGGCCTGATGGGCGCTGCCGCCCGAGCAAAACCCGAGCAACAACCAAATCGAGTTTGTGCCACGTTCGGCAGCACCGGACTGAGTCCCCCCGCGATCGCGGTGAGCGGTCCCACCCGTTTACCCCTGGGCGGTTTCACGTTCTCTTGAACTCTCTCTCCAAAGTTCTTTTCAACTTTCCCTCACGGTACTTGTCGACTATCGGACTTGTCCCGGTATTTAGCTTTGGATGGAGCTTACCACCCAATTTGGGCTGCGTTCCCAAGCAACCCGACTCTCGGATCGAAGGCCGACGCTCGCCGTCCGCACCGAATAGGCCTGGCACCCGCCGCGGGCGGCCCCGATCGAGGGAACTCCGAACTACGCGTGACGAAAACGAGCGGCTGCCTTCGACCCATGCGCCACATGTCCCGAAGCCTTTTACTTGCGACGGGATTCGGCGTTGGGCTTCTCCCGGTTCACTCGCCGTTACTAAGGGAATCCCGGTTGGTTTCTTTTCCTCCGCTTAGCGATATGCTTAAGTTCAGCGGGTCGTCTCGTCCGAGCCGAGGGCGGCGGTGTTTGAGGTAAGACTACAGCAAAACGCGACCACGCACAGTGACGGCAGAATACGGCGGCGGCGGCACAGACTGGCTTCGAGACGCCCAAGGTTTGTATTTCGACCTGCTAAGAAGACCAACAGTAGTTCACAGAACCCACTTTATCAATGCAGCATCTGTAATAAGGCTTTTGCGGCTCTAGAATTGGACACTACTCTCACGAGAGGACTTATCGGTAATGTCTCGATAGAATACTCATGCGTTGGGTCACAACATGAGAATCCATCATCACTGCTACTACTAATAATTTTAACAATACTACGACTATTACTACTTCTACTAATAATTAATAATAATACTGATAATAATCAGTGCCTAATTTTTACACGATGTATGTCTCTGAAGATTTCTGTTATTAATCGATATACATGATTTCTCATAGTTAAATAAAATGGAGCCGTGTTCGAATTCATTACACTCACGTAGGTGCTGTTACGCTTGGCAAAGGTATGAATCCATCTCTTCTACCTCCAGTACAGTATAAGAAAAAAAAGAAATAAAGAAACTATAATAAAAAATAAAAAATTAACAAAGAAAAAATACGATAATATAAATAAATAGATGACATTTCTCTGCGGCATCGTTCGCAATAAGCGTTATGACTGACGTCACGTTAGACTATTTCAAACATCCATTTTTCCAAATATATCAGGATGTAGACAAAGGAATTTTAACTTCCAGACAGGCACTATATTGTTTCTTGATAAAGACTGCAATGGTCAAAGGTACTTGAAACAATAACAAAATATATATTTGGCATATTATTTCCACGACTTCAAGTGCAATATTTAACACGTTATTCGCAGAGTGGGAAAAATATAAAAGCTAAAGGAATAAACATTCCTTGTTGTTTCTTTTTCATCAAATGTGTTTGGATAATTGCTATTTGTAGGACTAGTAGTATTTATATTAGTAACTTTATTAGTAATAATATGATTAATTATGTGCAGTAATAAATGGAATGAACCAAAGTTTTGAGGTAAAATAGAGTGAGCATGCGAAAATACTGGAAGCGGGGACAGAGATGAAATAGGGTGGGGCCGAGATCTGACGTTGGTGGGGATGATTAGAAATGAAAGGAAGTTGCCGAAAAAGACACAAGGAGGTGAGTGACAAAGCTTCAAATTATAATAATGAGGACTAATGAAGAGAGACATGAAAAAGAAAAAAAATGGGAAGATAAGAGACAAAACATTATAACAAAGTGGAAGAGGAGAAGTATTAGAAAGGCGTAGGGCGGAACTGGAAAGAATTTCGTTAAATCGGGTCATGACCAGAGATGACCTAGATTTCGTGAACGATTATGATTGGTTATAGCAGGAATGGAGATGAGAAAGAGAGATCGGAATTAAAATAAAAAAAAGGAGAATGATTGAAAGAAAAACAAAGGAAAGTCTTTTATCGTCAAAATGGAAAAATAGATCCTGTATCTAAAATGAAGAACACGCGGATGATTTAACGAGAAGATCGAAAAATTTAGAAAAATAAATAAAAAATATAGAAGTGCATCACTTTATGTGCCGTGTCCCCACAGGACATAGGCAATTATGGCTCTCCATAATTTCCTGTCCCTTGCAGCTCTAAATAAATTCTGTCAATTTCGTTATTTCTAAATACTATTCCGCCATCCATATTCTGAAGCCCGTCAAGTATCTTATACGATGCTTTCCGTTGTCCTTCTTGCCCTCTGTCCGTCTTTGGGAGTAACAGATTTCCCAAGACCTCATTCCTCATTATGTGCCTGTTATATACCGTACCTATGAACATTAATGGATATGTCCCAATCCTCATAAATACGTTGAACACTATTGTAACTGGAGGTAATACGCTAAGTAGTCCACCACTAGCATTGGTTCACCTAATTCACGCCGCTGGCGAGTATTGTATTTTGCTGATGTTATAAAGACAACCATTTCATTTCCAACTTACGCTTTGGTTATTCCTCATTCACTAACCCTTTCTATGTTACAATATTGCCCCAGAAATTTCAACTAACTCTTACTGATGTTAAGTATAATTATCGTTTTTACTCTCATTTTCTCTAAAACCTTGTTGCTGCTCATATGTTCGGACCATGGTCTCCACAGTATCTTTCTGTAGAATAACAAGTATCTTCATCTTCATCTTTGAGCAAATTATCTATCATTTACTGCCATATAGTAGGACTTATATCGCATAAGAATTCTGGAATAATTTCTTTGATTCGAACAAGTTTTACTCTTTGTTAAAACTTGGATTAGCTTTTGGAATGAATATTTGGCGTCTTCGGATTTCAGGGTTGCTTTTTCTGTTAAAATACTTCCCAGATATTTATATTTTTTAACTTGGTTGAAATGAATGGTAATATTGATAATTTAATGAATTGTGACGTCCACCCCCTCGTTCGGTTGTCACCGCTCCAAACGTGACGTCCGCCTGTCTGCGTCAGTCGTGCTATCCTGTCCTGTGACGACCAACTGGCTTGGTATTGGTCGCGGCACCCAAATGTGACGTTCTAACCTTTTGGATGGGAATCTGGTTAGATTCGATATCAGCCTCGTCGTTCCCAACTCGCCTCCAACGTCTGGTTACCGAAGTAACTGCTTTGATTTCCAGTCTGCCTACCCACTAGGCAGACGAAATCAATCAGTCGCTGGGGCCGTAATGCAAGCTGAGTTCGAATAAGGGTGATATCGCACAAGTATATGCAAAAGAAAATAAAATAATAAATCGAAAAGTTCAATGTGTTAAAAAGGATAACAATATTTTATATCTGGTTGCTGAATATAGGACTACGCAAACCGCTATATGTATTCCTGACACGTTGTTTTTGTTAGGCGAGTCTTAACATCTTAAGTTGTCTGTTCTTCAAGAAACTGGTTCTTGGTGTGTCTTCAGGCGATATTCTTAAAACTTGTTTTGGTGGTATGAGTCTAAGTTGTTCTTCAAAAATAATTTTTCTTGGATAGAAGATGAGTCGGAATTGCGTGAAACTTTCAAGCTAATGCGCTGTGGGTCTTCAGAGCTCTCAACTTAAACTCGAAAAAACTGAACTCGACTGGAACTCAACTGATTTTCGCTCGCTGCGACTTTGCTTATATGGACGACGACCCCAAACCGGGGTGGGCTTTGTCGGGGTTTGAGGTTCCTTGATAATTCTAAATCCACAATCCTCTTCTTCTATTTTCGGTCAGAAAAAAAATATTATTTCCATTTTTGGAAGTCTTCTCTTACTCCCACCTTCTTCTGTTCTCATATGTGTATCTCACCATATCCTCAGAAGGCGTCAACGGTTTTCCCACTCTTTCGCAGTAACATCTCATACCTATCCTCTCAATGGGTGGTAGCAGCCCCCCCCCGCATCACATGATCACCTCTGCCTGGGTCTCGTTAACATTCATCCAATGGGCGTTCAACAGTGTGGGTGCGACCAGACTAGCCTTGTTTTTAGAAAAATATCTTGCTCAAAGGAAAAAAAAATTATCTCCTCTTTCTTTTTTTTTCTATTGCCTTTCTTTCTTTTCTTTCTCTCTTCTTTTCTGACTGCCAACAGACCAATACGACCCGTAGTGTGATAATCTCAATTCTTATCCCAATGCCACTTTCATATGGAATTCGTCAATCAGATTTTCGCCAGCACCAAGTGGCTGGTCAACCAGACACACTCACTCTCCGGCGGCAACCACTGATACGATGAAACGACTTCGCCATTTTCTGATAATATTGTTTCGCTGTCATAGTCAAATTCCAACACAACCCAGATGTCTTTTCTCTCAATGACACCCTCCCATCGACAAAGACTTAACCTAAGTTTGAGTTCTCTTTGTGTGTGGTCAGGACATTCTTATTTCTCGGTCAACGGAAAATCTTTTCCCGATAATATAAGTTCGCCACCATGACACAGTTAATTTTTTATCTATTCAAAACTCTGTATCTGGTTATTTGGCCCACCTGGAATTCGTCAATTAGCTTTTCGACAATAGCCATAAAAATTTTCACCATTCTTCATTATCAAAATAACATCGCTAAATGCCCCTTTTGTGATGGCTTTCCTTTATCATCTAAGTTTTAACTCTCGCCTCTCTTTTTCTTTCTTTTTTTTCCTTTTTCCTTGCAGCCCTAAATGGTGTCACAAAATACTAAATCATCGAATTGAAGTTAAAAACGAAAAATACAGAATTAAAACGTTTGGCAAATCAAAGCCTCTTTCCGATGATAAAAAATAAAATCGAGTTAAGGTAATTTAAGTTGGTCCTTATGAGAAAAAAATACGAAATTCGTTGACCGAACAGACTGTCGATCGATAGTTTTGAAATATTTATCTTAGATTTTTTTTTTTCATTAAAGTAGATGTTATTGCCTTTTTCTTTATTGATGATGTTTTCCTTCTTACCTTTTTATTTGAAGTAGTTTCGAACGTCAGATCCTGAATTAGGTCATTATTTTCCGTACGAGTTGCATTTATTTACAACTTTAGCAGTTTCCGCTGCTGAAATTCATCTGGTCGTGTGGTTTCTGATATTTAGTACAATTCTTTGTCTATGATTCTGTATCACCGGTACACAAGGTTCCAAGATGTATAGTCTTCGCCAAGAGTCACATGCTTCACTCGGTCGAAGACATTTTAAACCATTGGTCTTAGAACGCGTTTGTATAAAGCTGATAGTTTAGACGTTTACAACGAGTTTGGTGCCATCCATGGCATCCATATGAAAGTCTGATTCTAACAAAGCTATTTAGAACATGTATAGTGTTTTAGTTTTGTAGTAACTTGCGCTTTGGGCTAAAATGATATCCAGCGCTTCCTATTCTACGTCCAATTACCTTACTTTCCATAATAGTCATTATCTCGTATCCAATAATTTAACTTATTTTTAATCGCTTCTTTTATGATGATGGCGTTGATGATTAAACAGACCAATTCTTGCATGAAATAGCCGATGGTACTGACTGCATAATAATCTTGGTGGATAAAGAGGTTGATTTTGTCAA